TTCCAACCTGAATGATTCTATGATTCTAAATGCTCTTTCTTGAAAATACCACAGGAAAACACTGATTTGTTATAAAATAACACTTCTATGTGCACTTTCCATCTGAGAATTTCAAAACACATTACAGACATTAACACAGTACTATGAGTCTCACAAATCCCTTGAAAACTATAAAATAAACCAGGCCCATAGAAGTTGCCATACCAGATCTGTCCAGTGCCTCACTTAATCCAGCATCCTGTCCAACAGACAAGAATAAAACGTTAAATATAGCATGTCAACGTATTAAACCCTACCATGCTGTCTGTCCCCCAAAGACAGCTGAGCACACATGAAAAAGTAACCTTGGAGTCTGCTGACTCCACTTCAGGAAACAAGGATAATTATACACATAGGGGTAACCGAGGTGTCTGACAGTTTCTAGTGCAGCCCCGTTGGTTTTGGCCCAAACTCAAAGGGTCTGCATGTTTATGTATGGATTTCAGGAAAACAAATGTCACAGTTAACTACTTACAAGAGTGGTTAGGGAGAACCAAGTATCAATATCTGTAAAGATAATAGCAAATTCCCTTTATGAACACATTTGTGAGAAACAATAAAATTTTCCCTGCATTCTCCCAAGCTCTTATGCCACTGTGGAAGTCATGCAACTCATCCCCACTTCAGCAGCTACAGATTCCTACTGTTGTCCATGCTTATGGATTCTGGTGGCATAATGAATTTAAATGCAGACTAGAAACCTCATTCTGCCCTCCCCCAGGGGTGTTGCTTCTGTCCTGGAAGAAACAAAAACCAAAACACTGGCTTCTAGAAGAGGGCAAAAGAGGAAAGTTCATCTGTTTGTTCAGAAACCTGTTCCTATCCAAGGAATAAAGCACACCTAATTGATTTTAAGGCAGGCAGGATGTCCCAGAAATTTCATTACTTTGCAGAATTGGCTGCTGTTTTATTAATGTTCACCAAACATACGGAGGGTGGGGTGGAAAAAGGGATAGTTGGCTGAAAAAATGTCTGCTGGACAAACAAAATGAAGGAATCTTTTACTTAATATATTTCTAAAACCCATTGTAGGAATTCTGTGCTTAACTTCCCTAGGTTTGTTGCATACTCGTTCTGCCACCTGCTGCCCTGGCATTCCTCAAAGTTTCAGGAACAAGGACTACATCCCCGAGCTTTCCCAGAAATGAATACTGCATGACTAACAAGCATCTAGCAGCCCAGTGGCCTGTCCCATCCAGAAGATGCTATGGTTCTGGTAAACTGCTTGCTTGAATCCTCCTTAATGATTGCATTATCACTTCATGTCTTGAAGAATACCACCCTTGGGCCTCATGGCCCAGTGCATCTCAAGAGGTGTTTTCTTTCTTGATGGGTAGAATTTCCCAGTAAGAATAGCACACTGGCTCTAATACCATGGGAGTCAGGTGTAAGGGAAGGTCCTTCAGACTGTCACCACTGCCCCAGCTCCTCCAGGGGAAGAAAAGAAAGTAGAGCCAGGAAGAGAATCTTCAGGAGGTCAAATGACGGAAGAAAGAATGAAGTCAGAATAAAACAAACCATATAATGATTTGGGTTGGAAGGGACCTTCAAGATCACCTAGTTCCCCCCCCTGCCATGTGCAGGGACACCTTCCCCTAGCCCAGGTTGCTCACAGCCCCGTCCAGCCTGGTCTTGAGCACTGCCAGAGAGGGGGCAGCCACAGCTGCTCTGGGCAACCTGTGCCAGTGCCTCACCACCCTCACAGGGAAGAATTTCTTCCTTATATCTAATCTAATTCTACCCTCTTTCAGTTTAAAGCCATTAGCCCTCATCCTATCACTCCCTGATCAAGAGTCCCTCCCCAGCTTTCCTGTACCCCCTTTAAGTACTAGAAGGCCACTATAAGGTCTCCCTGGAGCATTCTCTTCTCCAGGTAAACCCCCAACTCTCTCAGCCTGTCCTCACAGGGGAGGTGCTCCAGACCCCCAATCATCTTTGTGGCCTCCTCTGGACTTGCTTGAGCAGGTCCATGTCCTTCTCATGTTGGGGGCCCCAGAGCTGGACACAGCACTGCAGGGGGGGTGTCACATGAGAGCAGAGTAGAGGGGGAGAATCCCCTCCCTTGCCCTGCTGGCCACACTTCTCTTGATGCAGCACAGGACATGGTTGGCTTTCTGGTCTGTGAGCGCACATTGCTGGCTCAGAGTCAGTTTTCCATCTGTTAATACCCCCAAGTCCACCTACACCAGGCTGCTCTCAATCCACTCATCGCCCAGCCTGTATCCGTGCTTGCCATTGCCCCAACCCATGTGCAGGACCTTGCACTTGGTCTTGTTGAACTTCATGAGGTTTGCACGGGCCACCCCTCCAGCCTGTCCAGGTCCCTCCGGATGGCCCATCCCTTCCCTCCAGCGTGTCGACCACACCACACAGCTTGGTGTCATCAGCAAACCTGCTGAGGGTGCACTCAATCCCACTGTCACCCACAAAGATGTTAAACAGCACCAGTCCCAACACCCAACCCCTGAGGAACACCACTTGTCACTGCTCTCCACTCAGACATTGAGCCATTGACCGCAATTCTCTGACTGTGACCATCCAGCCAATTTTTTTGAACAGTATTGATTCTGCAGGGTTACAAATTCTGAAAAGCAGGCAAAACTTGGTTTTGCACTACTTTTCACCCGTCTCTGGAACAACTGCGTGCTTTCAGTAATTTCCTGGAGCAGAATTTCACTTTAAAACCAAGACTACACAGGTAATCACAGGCATTTTTTTTTTTTTTTTTTTTTTAATTTTAAATACAGTAATATGAGAATTTGTAAAAGTGATTACTGACTTGGGAATTTTTGGACCTCCAAGTTAAGCTTCCTTAAAAAGTGCTGATTTTCAATGCACTGATATCCAATACCTCCTGGCAGAACCACCTTACAATGACTGAAATGGCATCTCAAGAACTGAGGCACCTTTATTCACAATTCATTTCTGAAAGTGGGTATAAAGCAATTATGAAACAACATATGTGTGTAAAACTACAGTAGTTTAACCAGTACAGTGCTGCTACAGGTAGGGTAATTCTAGATGCTTTCCTCTAACTGGAAACTGCACATCTAGCAGAAAGATTTCTATGACTTTAAGAAAAGAGAATTTATCTAAAAAAGGAACACAGATATCAGCAACAAGAAAATACTTACAGGACATCATGGACATATCCTATTTCATTCATGAACTTCACAGACATATCACTATTTATATCACACTTCTGTTTCAAATTACTTTGCTTTTAATAAAATATACTAACATTTACTTCAAGGTTGTTTTTCCTCACTGTATATTTAATTCTTCTGCTTAACTAAACCAAAATGATCCCATGGCTTCACATGCAAGCAAGGTGGTACACCTGATACACCCAGCTAGGAACAGAGTAAAACTCTGCTTTTTAGTAAAGTAGATCATAATACAATTTTTATAACAGTGTTTTAAACACTTGAAAACAACATTTCATACACTTTCAATCTATTACTTCTCAAACAAAATCAGAAAAAAAACACATTTAATATCTGAATGTTCTTTAGGAAAACTGCTCTCTCTTTCCACCACCAGATGAATGTTCTTAATCCTTTTTAGCCAACTTTGTGCATCATGAAGTAGCACAGAGCCCAGTTTCTGCCCTTTTCCCTTTGCCAACTCCACTTCTCATGTACCTCCAAAGTGATCCAGGAAATTTGTGAACAGCTTTGTATTTTGCACACACATGTAGAAAAGGAGAACTCATTACAGACCAGAATAAGAAGCAGAACATAGAGAATTTATGAGGGCAGCAGCAGTATGTTTCTATACAAGTCCAAAAGATGCCTTTTCTACCTGCATTTGACACACTTAACCTGCTACCTGGGAGTCCAGAAGACTACCACTGCTTCACAGTGCCAACTACTCACAGCAACAGAAATGCCATCATTACAATTTTACTTCTAATGAGCAGAATAAAACAGGATGGCTTCCTCTCCTCTGGCTCTAAGGAACGCAACCTAACAGTGAGAAACCTTGTGTTATGGCAGTAAAACCAGGAGCACCAATTTGAATGCACATGAGTTGTAATGCTATAGGAGTAAGATGGTACAAATTCCGCATAGCAATTTTTCTGTCAACTCTCTAATGGGCGGAAAATCAATAACATTAAGACTGAGGGTCACAGCCTTTGGAAAGAGTTACATCAATGCAAAAACAGAACAGACAAAGCCAAGAGAGATTAGAACCACAGATATCCCAAGGGACAGATGAAATCATGGGTTATGATGTTTTTAAAAACAAAAAAAAAAAGTTACTCCCTCAATCAAAGCCCAAGTGTCTCGTGTCCTAGTTTTTCTCATTTTTTTTAAATTAAGAGTTGAAGACTGCAGTCAAAAATGCTACTGTATTTCACTCAAAAGCATGAAGTATCTTAGTGAAAAAGGGTAAGCTTTCTCCTTTTTGCAGGCATATTTCTGGAAAACTGGTACCATACTTACTGCTCAAAGTTAAGGTTGCTGGTGCAGGCAGCAAGCTTCCACTTGCAAACAGTAGCTGAAGAAGACAGAGTGCTCCCTGTCCTAAGTGTCACAGACAAAATTTGACACAAACTGTGGAAGGGATGACAGCAAAACAATCATGGCAGTGAAAGGACCAGTCTCCTACTCCTGCCCAAAAATCCTTGCACAGAAAAGTAATTTAAGGATTACCTTTCATCTCCACAACATGAAATGCATTAAAAATTCAAGAAACTTGTATGCATGTGCCAACAGGCCAGTGCTAGGCCCTATGACTTGGATTAAGCCCATCCTAACACAGGAAAACACCAGAGGACTGGCTATGCCTGAAAATCAAAGGACACTGACTGCCCCCCACCCCAAATAAGAAATTGGCTATAGAGTGCCAGGTTCTCAACATATGTGGCATAACCACAGAGGCTGAAGGACACAGTTAGCCCATCTGACCAAGCACTGCTGGTGGAGCTTTATTTAAATTCTCTTTGTTGTTCTCACCTCTCTTGTCAGCAAGTCATGATATTGTAGTATAAGCCTGGTGTTGACGCTGTGACTCCATGTGTTGCCAAGGGCTGCTGTCACATAACCTGATTCCCTCTTCCCACTTCCAGAAGCTCCTGGAGATAAATATGAAACTGCATGAGGATTGCGCAACAGAGAAGGGTTCGGCATGGAAATTCCAATCAGTCATCTCAGATCATTTCCTAAACTAGGTAATGACAATTGGTACTTAATAGATGGTACTGTCACATTAATTTCCTACCTGATTTATTTATACAACTGCAGTGTGAGTTCTCCATCTCACCCTCTGACACCTAGACAAAGTGCCAAGAATTAAGGATATGTTGCAAAATTGTACCTACCTTCTTGGAGAGACTGGTACATTTTTTAGGTATCTAGAAGTGCACCATGCATGGGGGACACTTGCCTTTTCCTCTTTAGATATTCTGCCCCCAAGCAAACCAGCTTTCTATGGGCACAGAGGAGAGGGAAGCAGAGTGACAACGTATAATGGCATGAGAAAAAGGGAAGCTAAAGGAGCAGAATGTGGTGCCACAATACCCTGATCTAAAAATGAGAATACTGCTTCATGCCACCAGGCATCCTATACATTTTCTAAGATTTGCAAATAAGGGAGCCATTCTGGTGTCTCTGAAATCATATGAAATTTATATGGCTTAAAGGAAAGGCAATGACAACGTAAAGAAGTGTTTCCAATAATGCCACATGATCCAGCTTGCTGAACTGCCATTGCACCTGAGCTTTCTTGTATTGAAACCAGAGACCCATACATACACACATACACATATGCAGGCAGGTAGGTGTCTGAGATCTTCATCTCTGTTATCACAAGCTCTGCGTAAGATGAACAGGCAGATGGGTGACTTGTCTGTACTTCAAATGACACTTCAAGAACAGAGCAAGCCAGACAAACCAAAGAAATTCAGAAACAAAACTCCAGTTGTTATGTGGGTATAAATGATCATGTACAAGCTGAAAATTGAACTGAGGTTGACAGTCCATACTGCTAAAAAGCTATGAATGAATGAGAGAAACTTGTATTTAAAGTTAGGGAACTTCCTGTCATCTATCAGGCAACAAACAAAATTGTTTCCCCAGGACAGTCATGAAATTCATGTCAACTAAGTCAGTTAAAGTTAGACCAGAGACATACTCTGCAATACACACTTTAGAGCAGCCTTATGTTTCTATCAAAACAATCAATAATACAATAGTTAATGTTGAAACTTAAATTATAAGTAGTAGGTTTTGGAAGCAATACTGTAATGAGATGACAATGTCATTGCATGGCCCAGTGGAGCTTCTGGAAAATTTGGGTTAAAACTCTTCATTGATTTTTACATTTGCAAGGTTGTGGGTTTTTCTACTTTTCCCCCTAAGTATTCATAACAAACCCATAATTTCTTTATTCACTAAAACTTTTATTTTGGAAAAATACTCAGTAAAGGGCAAGACCAAAAGTGTTGGTATGCAGTAATAATCATTATTTGCAATCAATGAGAATGGTACCTTATTAGACTGCATTAGGCAGAGAGGAGCAGGAGGCTGGAGAGAAGGTCCTGGAATGATTGCAGTGTGCTACAGGACTCAGCTAAAGAGCTCAAACTTCCCCCCAGAGTAATACAAGGTTCAATTAACATCACCTGGATTTGAAATAGGTCTTTAAATGTTTAAGGTCTACAAAAGAAATGAGTGCAGCACTAGGTTCAAGCCAATAGTTTGACAAGAGTATGGACTCTGTACTTGTCTGAATTACTTCCCATGTCATGAAAACTCACTGTGACATGCACAATACTCGCTTCTCCAGAACAACATCTGTTCTAGTCTGAAAACAGGCTACAGTTGTGCCATCCAGTAGGGATGGATGCTTTTCTTTCCTCAAAACAAACATATTAGTATCTGGATAAGCATCAAACTTCTACCTGAATAACTCATCACAGGATCACCTAATTGGAAGTTTCAGCATTAGGAATGCTATTCTGTTAATTAGTCTAACCCATCTCTATTGGGAAGGTGGATGTGCTGACAATAATAATTTCTCTTCATCTACATTTTGGATTTAATTTGCTAGCTGGAGGAGAGAACAGGTTCAAGTATTAAAGCAGGGTGCTGGGAGGTCTGTATTCCATTCCCTTAAAATTACTTAAACCAAGTTACTTAATTAAGTTCATTAAGTGCTACAAACTTTTGGTTTTGTGCTAAGACCACAAAAGTAAAATACCATTACTGTACAAACAAGCTAAGGGAGAATAAAAGTTAGTGAAGCAGCTTTAAATTCTGTGATCCTCTCTTTGTCATGTGGAATAAGCTGCAAGTTCCTCCTGTAGTCAACACTGTCCTTCATTCCCACCTGCTAGAAATGGGTAGGAATCACAAAACCCAAAAGTGAGGTAGATAAGTGTGAGTTCTGGTGGGTGTGGAGGTGTTAGTCTCACAGGTGGTGTAACTGCACCCCTCTATACAGCTGGAAGCCGCCACTCCATGCCGCTCTGACACAGACAAAAAGCCCAGACATTCCAGAGGTAGGTACTGTTGGCATAAAACAGCCGCAAAGTTCACATCCAAACTTCCCTCAAATTATATGTCTCTCCTATTAGGTAACAGAAGAAGCAACATCTTGCTGTTGCAATCCTGAGCTGGGCATTTAAGCAGTCAAAAATCTGAAGCCAGCTGATATCACGGAGATATCACTCCATAGCAGTTCCTAATTCTGCATTCCTTTCAGGTCTAAAACCTGTCCCAAAGTGAGCAGAAGTGCTAGAGGTGTAAGGCTTGTGGCTGAACAAGCAAGCTAATTGCTGTCACTTATTTTATTTTATTATGCAGGAGAAAGCCCACTGTACCATACTGTGTCAGCCCCTATCAGAAGAGGGCTGCTTGTGTGACCCACTTTCAGGCGAATCCTCTTCTGTGAAGTTAATTCAAATTTATGACTCCAGTGCAAAGTGGTTAGTAAGCCTGGAGCAAATTTACAGTGAAGACTTTTTACAGGGTGGAAAGGAATGCCTCACAGGAAAGGTTTCCATTTTATAAGGGATCCTCCTGCAAGCTGATGCATTAGGCAGACAGAGAGGCAAACCAACAAGAAGTGAACTCTCTGAGAGGGAAACAGCGCCAGCTTTACAAAGAAGTTCAAGGGCAGTGACAGCACAAGTTTCATTCCTTCTCCTTGCTCTAAACACAAAAAGATAGCAAATGTCTCAGAGGATGGAAAGAGGATATGTTAAGAAAACAGATTTATATTCACACACGGCCTTAGAAAAACCTTGGACTTTTCTGTTATTTCAACCACTACTTAGTAATTAATGAACTGGACAAAGGAAGTGGATAAATAATAATGTTCAAAGAGAGTGGTATTTTTCAACACACATTGCCTTGTTCTTCCAAACCCTGATATTTTCATACTGGGAAGATGGGAGTGTCAGACCAACCTTGGCCCAAGAAGAAAACAAGCTCATAAGGGCCTTCAGTCTCTGCTCAGAGGTCCCCAAACTGTCCAATTTAATCACTTCAGAGTGGTATGGAGCAACAGCTCTGAGCTGTGACATGAAGGTGCTTATCCATGCTGTGGGGTGGATGTTTCCACAGAGCCAGTGATGTGCTATCAGCTGACAGGCAGCAGTTCCCATCTCTCCAGCCTGCTCCGAGTACAGCTCTCGCTCCAGCCACTGCCAGCGTGATGGCTTCTGCTCAGGACACAGGTGATACAGGGAGCACAGGGACTAGGGAGAGTAAGAAAACGAGGCTGACAGACAGATGAGAGAAAGGTGGCAGATATCAGTTTATGGATGCAGTATGTGGGAAAAGAGAGTGGATGTCCAGAAGCACAGAGATGGGATCCTGGCATGGGGAGGTGAAGGTGCATGCTAGAAGGGTGGGGAAGGCCTCCAAACACCCCCCTGCTTTATGTATTCAGATCCAGCTCAAGTAAAATGAAGTGGTAACTTCAATTCCTGTAAACACTCCTTCCTTCCTCACACAAAAAGAACTAGCATTAAACTGATCTTCAAAGGGCACGTCAGCAGACAGGCCAAGGAGTGCACAAGGTACCTGCTCTACCATCTCCTGTGAAACTGAGCTCTTGAGGGCACCGGCAGAGACACCAGCAGAGACCGTATCTGTTCTGGATCGCAAGCATAAAGGAGGAACTGGCTGCTTCACTCTCGCTGAACAGCTGTCACAAGTGAAAATAAGCTTCTTGTGGTCTGAGTCAAATGCAAAGTAAATGCCTCTGCACAATCAGGGAAAAAAAATGAACCAAAGAATAAAAGGGTGATTCTTCAACTGAGGCCTGCAGCGCTGCTTCCAAGCAGAAGAAAAGGCTCACACTGGGCTTCACTGCCCTGGAAGGAGCTGTCGGTAGAACTGGGCAACAACACTTGGCCCTCCTTCTACAGAGGGGCTAGATTAATTTTGTTTCCCCCCATCACTGCAATTAGAACAAACCTTCCATAAGTACCTTTCTTATCACTAGAGATGAATGCCACATAAAGGCAGGTTGGGAAAAGTGGGTTTATTCCACCTTCCATTTTTCACTGGAGCGAACAGTAGGATTAAAGCTTTTCAGCTCAATACTGATTCTGGGATTATTCTATTATGTCCAGCCAGAGAATTACAAGTATAGACATGGTCTCAAAGATTTTCTTGTCCTCTACATATAAGGAGGCACCATTTTAAAGACTAAATCCTTGTAACCAAGTCCCAATTGTTGCAAACATGGTTAAAGGGGATTTAATCATAAAGGAATTTCAGTTTCATCAGTGTCTCATCCTATGAAAATTAGGATAACTGGGCCACTGTCTTGAATCAAATGAAACAGACTTCTTAAAACAACATTTTAAAATGCAAACTATAGATAGAATGTGATTATTGTCTTGATTTTTAAAAATAACCTGTTCCTTGTTGGTGTAACTGCATAGAGCAATGAATTCCACCCCTTCCACATTCTCATATAGATTTTTCTCTTTCCAGATGAAAGAGTCATTGCCTGGCAGGTTCATTCCCACCACTGGGCCCCTTTGCAATCTCTATTATTTTGGTAATTCAAACATCTTTTCTCATCAAATGCAAAAAGGGATCGATGCACAATACGACA